TGAAGAGTTATTGGAAGGGATGGTGATGATGAGTGCACAACAGTGTGAATGTAGTTAACACCACTGAACTGTACAATTAAAAGTGGTTAAGATGGTAAAGATGATAACATTTTGTTATGTGTATTTTATCACAATAAAAAAGAAAATATGAAATGGTTAAAAGTGAATATTTAGGCAATGATTACCCAGAGTCAAACATTAGAGAAAAGGAAGGATTTTTATTATGCAAAATACTTTTTGAGTGGCATGAGGTTTCACCATATATTCAGTTTTACAATTTTAATTTACAAATAGATGATTCTAGAAAACAGTCCTCTTCTGCACATCTAGAACTGGGTTCTGAATCAAAGTAAGAAAGAATTTTGAAAGTCTTTGCATTAAGTGGTTTTTGATGAAAATGGGCCAAGTAAAATTGAGTAAAAGCACAACTACCCAAAATGTGCATGCCAGCTAAGCAATTGACATGTTCTCTAAACATCTTATAGCAAAGGAGCAAATTATTGGTTGATTAATATCCTATTAAGTCAAATGAAGTGGCAAAAGCAAAAAAAAAAAAAAACCTAAAAAACAAAACAAAACAAAAAACCCCAAAACCAAACCCCTTAATATTAAAAATGGATTTTGCATTTTCAGAAACAGATTTTTTCAAAAAATTTTTCCTTCAATCAATAAAGTAAAACTTCCTGCCAAATGGGAATAATGCCAAGAATGTGTTTGTCTAAATATAACTTAAAATGTATATCTCATTTTTATGCTTAAAATAGGTTCCATTAAGTAATTTTTTTATGACATATCCTAGAGTTACCTTGATTCTTACAACGTAAGAGTTATGTATATTCACCATATCTGAATTGTAAGGGCTAGTCTGAGTTCATTTTGGGAGACTAGTGAAATAAAGGCCCCCTTGCCAAGCATTAAGATAGAAAATCCTAAGGGATTACATTCATGTTTGCTTTCTAAATTATACCAAAAGCTCAATTTTATTAAGTATAATCTACCTAGCCTTGGTTTAGATGTGCATGTATGTATTATTTATGTTGATTTTTCATATTTTTCTACTTTGGTTGAGATGTGAATGTATATATTATATTGATTTTTTATAAAAATATTTTTCCATACATGTGCCAATATATCCTGCTTAATATTGGTTACTATGATAACATATAATATCATAATATTACTTTCCTAAATGCTTTACTGAGGTCTTCTAAATAGTAGCATATGTTGATAGGAATAATAATTTTAAATTTTATTGGATTAAAAAAAGGAGCTACTTAGGGGTAGGACCAACTTTTACTCCCATTTATTTTAAATTGTTAAGAAAATAGACCACCAATTGGGGATAACTGTAAATGGCAATAATTTAAAGTTATATCAGATTCTGGGCCCTAAAAAGCATTATTGTTATTTTAATTGAGTTATGAAATAGTTTCTTTTCAAGAATCTATGTTCAAGAATCTTGAAGGGTTGCAGTCATATAAATGCACAATTTCAGTTCCTTTTAGCCTAAAGCATAATTTTTAACATTTTCTAAAAGGTGGTTCAGTTGTACATTTTGATTCCATTATATGTGTAATTAAACCTGTATGCACAAAAGCATTTTCTTATGTTCTAGCAAATATACCCACAGGAATCCTCTTCTAAACTATAATTTATTTAAACATGTAATCATAGGATTTTAAAAACATGCTTTCATTTTTCCAAACTGTATGCCAATTTGAACTGCTTTGTGATAAAATGAGAGATTTTTATTACCATTTTGATTTCTCCCCCCACCCCTCCCCGTGACCTAACAGTGAGTTAAACATGAGCAGGAGGAAATAAAGAATATCTATTGTGAACCTAACTCCATGTGTTAAACTCTTTCCCTTTTCCAGACAAATGGAAGAGAATCACAGATTTGTAAATATTTATGAATTCCAGCACAATATGAATATTGGGGCCTGCAGCATGCTCTCCTGGGGATTGGCCTAAGTAGTTATAGCTCTCTCTCTCTCTCTCTCTCTCTCTCTCTCTCTCTCTCTGTTTTATCCTCCTGAACGTTGTGGAGTCAGGCCCCCTACTGACAGAATCAGTCAATTACAGTCGTGGGCGGTTCTACTGACACTTTCATCAGAACCTGGTGGGGACACAGGAATTTGGAGTTTTGAGCCTAGTCCTCCTCTACACTTTCTGAAGCCTGTGCTGGATCCTTCCACCCCAGCACATCCGACCCGTACCCAAAATGCCAGCTCTAGGAGTAGCTTAGCCAATAATTGGTTTAAGTGAGTATTTCAGTCTTGCATCTGGTGTGTCTAAGAAGTATAGCTTCCCAGGAACTAGTTCTCTTCCCAGAGAACTCTTAAACGGATTGTAGTACAGAAGGAAATAAGCCCACCTTTTCTCTCATTTGAATGTTCCATTTAATCACGCCATTCCAAGTCATTAATAATTATTATATTAAGCTGCTGTGAGAACTGCCTCTCCATCTTGGGTGCATTAAGACTTGGGCAAAGTCTATAGTATAAAGGAGCCAGACTCCACAGGTTGCTGGTATAGAGTAACGAATCACAGTGTGTGTTCCTCGGAGCTCACTTGAAGAACTCCAGAACACTTTCCCACTCTCTGGGAGAAAATTCTCGCGTTGTCCCCAGACTCAACCCAGGGCGATGGGAGTGTTTTTTTAACCGCAACAAGGGTGGAGGAGCTGCGGAGGAACTCTATCTACTTACGTATGCCTATTTGTGTATGAAGGGTAATGGTTCTTCCAGCCCCCGCTTTCCTAGGAATACATTAAAAAATAATAACCGCCACCCCAGCAAGGCTGTGCTTGAGTTTCCGTCTGCCTGAAATAGCGGCCGGGAGCCTGGCCCGCCGCTGGGATCAAGGCAAGCTCCCCTTGGGCGCGCCCTGCTCCCTGGCGGAAGGGGAAGGGAACCCGGGAGGGCGCCACCGAGCTAGAGCTGCTATTTTGGGCCCAGCCGAGCGGGTGCGTCAATGCCTGCGCCCCTGCGTCACCGCCACCTCCACCCCTTTCCTTCTCCCCGGCTCTCCAAACTCTCACTTTTTCCCTTTCGTTCGCGTGCAATCGACTCTGCCCACGGGGCTCTGACGCTGCCGAGCTCATGCTAATAAGCTATTCTTCGCCCTCCCCTCCTAATCCCCCTACTCAC